TCTCTATGTCTCTCTCTGTCTGTCTGGCGAGCGCACGCGCCCTATAGTGAAAACCACTCCAAAAGAAAAAATAAATTATAATAATAATATAAAATTAATAGAAGGTGCCTTGGAGGAAAAAGATGTAGTGTATCTTCATATTCTTGTTTGGAAGAAAGGGCATGAATGTAAATATTTTCTTATATCTAGTTTTAACTTTTCCTTATGAAAAATTGCTAACACACTGAAGAGATAATACTGTAATAAGTTTTACTATACCCATCATCTTGTTGCTGTACAAGAGTTCCTATGCTCCACTCCAAAGACCCAAAGCAGTTCTGACCCTTTGCTGCACAATAAAACGCGGAGAAGCAAAGTTGTTGGCGAGAGAGTAAAGGAGAATTTATTACACTGTCGCCACACCGGGAAGACATGTACAAGTATCTTCAGCCTACTTACAGAGGCTTTTAGAGGGGAAAGGAGAGGCCAGCAGATATTTGTAGAAAAGCATAGGTTAGGACAATTTTTAAGACAGTTTCGTTTCCCTGAGGTGGAATATACTTCATTGTTTCAAGCTTCAGATTGACCATTCATCTTGTTAGCGATTCAAAGAGAGTTCTCAAAGAGCAAAACAATTTTGATCAACAACATGGAGTCAGTCTGGCTAAAGCATGCTTCTATTACAATCTAATTTAACAATTGTTTGTTTTCTGCTATATTCTTGTAGTTTTGTTTGTTTGTTTGTTTTTAGAGGTTTTTGCTATAGGGCACATGCACTAGCCAGAAAGACAGAGAGAGACAGAGATACAGAAAGTGAGAAATAACCCCCTGGGGGGATGGCCGCTCCGCAATCCCTTCTCTTCTATTCTCCTCTTGGGATCTTGGGCATGCAAGCACATGTGCCTGGTGTGAGTTTAAGCCACCGGCTCTGGGACTCGAACCGCAGTCGACTATATGGGAGTCCAGCAACATAGCCATTACGTCAACTGCTGGTCCTGATATTCTTGTAGTGTTTTAAAATAATTCCTAGATATCATCACTTTTCACTGCTAAGTATTTCAGAATGCATCTCTAAAGAGTGACCTTTTTACATAATCACAGTATCATTCATACCTAACAAAATAATTTTTTAGTCTTGTTTAATATCCAGTTTATGTTGAAATTTCACTAATTACCCCCAAAATGTCTTTCTACAGTTACTTCGTTTAAAACCAGAATCACATACAACATTTGGTTGATGTCTCTTAAGTCTCTTTTAGTTCTGAAGTTACTTGCCCTAGTTCACCCAGCCTGGCTGTCTCATAGAATGACCTATGATCTGGATTTGTGTGTTAATTTGTACTGCAGTCTAAACTGTTCTTCAGCTACAATATTAGCTAATTAATTATTCCAGGATTGATGAGGTTCAAATTCAAGGGTGTTATTAAGAATACATTTAGGCAGTACTGGGCACTCCATATTATGTCCACGATGAAGCAGATTATATCAAATTGACCCTTTTTACTGATGCTAAATGTGAACGTTGGGTTCAGGTGCTGATACTCTCATTCTTCCATTACAAAGCAACATTCCTCCCCACCTCCTTCATATGATGGCAAATCATTTAAAGGATGATACTTTGGCTAAATCACTCTTGGGTTTAAAAGGAGAAAAAAGTAACTAAACTATTTAGAACTTAAGGAAATAAGAGCATTACATATCGCAAAGACAAAATAAACACAAAAATGGCTGCAGAAAATATTTTAAATAATCAGAAATTAGTAAGTCAGTAAAAACATAGATTTGAGGGACCAGCAATTTGCATAATGGTTATGTCACTGAACTCCCATGTAGTCGGCCGTGGTTCAAGTCCCAGACCCGGTGTGCTTGCATGTCCAAAATCCCAAGAGGAGAATGAAGGAGAAGGGATTGCAGCATGGCCATCCCCGCTGGGGGCGATTTCTCGCTTTCTGTCTCCCTGTCTTTCTCTCTCTTTCTGGTGAGCGCACACACCCTATAGCAAAAACCTCCCCCCCACCCCCCAAAAAAACACATAGATTTGGTCAATACACAAACCAAAATCTGCCGCCTGGAACACATAAATAAAATAGACTGACATTTAGTAAGTCAGTCTGAAAGGAAAAAAGAAAGCAGGCAAATAACAGGAACTATCTGAAAAATTATAGGAAAAAATATGTTCTGGAAGATATGAGTGGAACTATGAGAAAATATAAATTACTAGATTGGCCTCAAAAGAAATTTTAAAACTTGAATTAGCCAATATGAAAAAATTCATCTATTAAAATTAGATGAGTAAGTAAAATTAGTCTATTAATGAATGCAATTCACACTGATGGGAGGAGGAAAGCATTGTGAAAGTAATCATGGCTAACCTTGAGACAGTAATTGCTATGTGCCAAGCACTGTACTAACAGCTTTAAACATATTAACTGGTTTACTTTTAACAAATGCCACAAAGGCATTGAATAAAATTTAATCCCATTTCTGATTAAAATGCTAAATTAGGTTGAGAGAAAAATCACGATGCATTTTTGCATAGAAAAATAAATCATTACTTTTCTGACACCCCAATATATATACATATGTATGTGCGCGTGTGTTTGTGTGTGTGTGTACATATATATGTATATATGTTTACTTTTAACAAATGCCACAAAGGCATTGAATAAAATTTAATCCCATTTCTGATTAAAATGCTAAATTAGGTTGAGAGAAAAATCACGATGCATTTTTGCATAGAAAAATAAATCATTACTTTTCTGACACCCCAATATATATACATATGTATGTGCGCGTGTGTTTGTGTGTGTGTGTACATATATATGTATATATATATATATAATATATATGTGCGCATGTGTTTGTGTGTGTGTGTACATATATGTATGTATATATAGAGAGAACAATAAACTTGAACAATTAAATTATAACACCTATTCTAACATGACATTTATTTCTTAATAAATGTTAGGAATAAACAGTAGCATTACTATTCTGTGAAAACAACAACTGGAAACCTATAGCAAGTGTTACTCTTTTTTTTTATTGCTTTATTTTTTTTAGAATTATTTTAACTTTATTTTTTTTTTTATTTGACCAAAGAGGGACAGAGCAAGAGAACGTGGTGGGGTGGGGGGAGGGGAGTGAGAAAGCAAGCCACAGGGCCGGCAGGTGGAAGGGTGGGTAAGGGCACGGGCACTGGACTCCTGCATGGCCAACAGCAGTTTGAGTCCCAGACCTGGCATTTTGCTTTCTCATGTTCTCTCTCTCTCTCTCTCATTTATCCCTCTCTGGTCAAATTAAAAAATAATAATAATAAAGTTAAATAAAATAATTATTAAAATAATAAATGAAATGAAATGAAAGCAAGCCACCAGGTCTGGGACTTAAACCAGTGGGCTATGTGGAAGTCCAGCACCCTTAGCCACTATGTCACCTGCCAGCCCCAGCATTACTTTTAATGGTGGCATTATAATAGAATTTTAAAATCAAGAACCCCAACTAAAAGAAAAAAAAAACAGAAAATGTCTTTCCCCAAATAAATTGGAAGTCCAGGAATTCATGTAGATTGGCAATGCCTGAATCCAAAGTATCCCACACTAGGGTGTAAAAGACTATTCAACTCCCAAATCACAATTTGGAAATAGCAAAGTACTTTAGTGTGTATAAACTAGGATTCAATTTACAAAAACTTGAAGCACATACAAATTTGTCAGGAATATTTTAGATGCATTCATGCCCCAATCCTTTGATTTTTAGTGACTTCCTTCCAGTTGACTCAGGATGACTGTGATCCACAGAAACCAGGAGAGCTCTCTCTCCCCAACCCCAACCCTGCCTTAGCCCTCTCTATAACCACACGCATTCCAGCTTCTTCTTCCTCTCCCATCAACACTCTTAACCTCTTACTCAGAGTTTGCATCTGGTCCCGATGAGGTGTTGTCTGAAGAATCTCTGTATCTCTCCCCAGGCGTGCTCCTGAGCTGCCGCATGGCCAACAGAGTCACCACCCCAGAGCAACGGCCACAAAACCCCCCGTGTCCAGGAAGCAAAGCACAGTGGGGAATAGGGCGGCTCTATGAGGTGGCCTGCCCCAGGGTATACCAGCATCCTTCCGCTGCTTCTCCCATGGCTCCGCAGCTGGTCCATGGCCTGCTCAGCACATGCTCTGCTATTCATACATTCATCATTCTCCCCAACAATGAAGAGGATTGAACCCTGGGCCTTTTCAACAGGAAGCAGGCTCTCATGATTCAGCTCATCTCGGGGGTCTCCTCTACGGCGGTAGAGGCGCACAGCCCCAGAGATGTGGAACTGTGTACACTCCTCAACCAAGTGCTTGGGGGTCATAACCAGATCTCTGTACCTGAGCGGAACTCCAAAAACCATGTTGGGCCCATTGATGCACACACTGGCTACTACCTGCTTCAGGTAGCAGGCCATGGCCAGTCCAATCTCTGCACCTTTGCTTACTGAGATCACTCCAACTCCTGGTTTTAGAATCTGAAGTATAAAACAAAGAGAAACCCATTACAGGCCATACTGAGACGGAGCTAACTGTTCCAGATGGCAGTAAACCAGTATGGTGGAAAGAGTCAAAGAATGCCCAGTTCTGGCATTCAGGTTTACCAGCTTCTGTGACCAAGAACATTACCTACTTACCCCTCTACTCTTTATTGTCTTGTTGGAATGATAACATTACCTATCTAGCAGGGTTGTTATAAGGATCAAGTGCAACAATAAAAATAAGAGCTTTTATCAGAAGTACAGTTTTATAAATCCAGATTTTCAATTTATAAAAGTAGAGTCTAACACACAGCAGCATTTAGCATCACAAAAGCTGAATCATGTAGATGTTCCAAAGAATCAAATCTTTGTCTTCAGCTGGAAAAACATGTTTCTCAGGTTCTCTCAAATATTACATAAATGCAATTCACATTTACACAACATTTTACAGCTATGAGGTTTTTGCACCTGTATTACTTCCATTAATCCGAGAGCTAATCCTGAAAGCACTGAGAACGTACAGGTGAAACACTAGAGCTGTATAAACTGAATACAATACCCAATCCAGCATGAAAAGGAGTAGCTCATAGAAGGGAGTTATTAATTCTGTTGTTGCCTGAGGAAGAAGAGGGGAAGAAAAAAATCTGAGAGATGAATGAGGAAAGGAAGGGTATCCTGGACACACAACAGAAAGTACAAAGAGGCCTAGTTTGTTTATGTTGCATACCAGAGTCTATTCAGCACCTGCCATTGGAATTGTTTCTGTCTGAAAAAATATTTTTTTAAACTAAAACTTTCTGAGATCAAATTTTTCTTTTTATTTAAATTGTCAGAGTATACATGTGCTTGTTAGAGAGGGACAGAGAGATAGATGGAGAAAGCACCCCACAATGGGGCCTGGTCTTACCACAATCCCTTCTCCTTCACTTCTCCAACCTGTTGAAATTTGGGGCATGCATGCACACATGTCTGGTGTGTTTTACAAGTCATCAGAGCTGGGATTTGAACCATGGGTGGTCATGTAGGATCCTGCTCCCTTAACCTCTAGGCTATGGGGCTGGCCCAAGATCCAAATTTTCAAGTGTCTATTTTGGCAAGTCTGAGTGGGCCTAAGAATTTAACACTGAAAAATGTCTTCAAGGAAATCTAATGTACATTCACATTTGGGAACATTTGGTAAAAACCTGACGAGAGAATGGAATGGTGTAACTGAAGATAGGAGATTGATTAATATGCTATTTCAGTATGTATCGTAGGTGGGCAATAATAGGGAATAAACACAGATGTGCCAGAGAGTACGAAAAGGGTGCGATGTATTGAGAAAGATTTAGTAGTAGAACCGAAGATAGTTTGGGATTTGTTGAAGATTTATGGGGGAGAGATGAGTAAATACAACAAGGTATATTTATTGAGAGTTTACAATATTGACAGTTTCTGGCACTTAGTTAACCCTAGATTAAGTGTTTTACATATTCTGAGTAGGTCATTCCTATAGAAAATCAGAGACACAGAAAGGTTAAAAGACTTGTCTAATGTTGCAACCATGTCCAGGGGCAGAGGTTGAAATGGAAGCTCATCTGCTGAATCCAAATACAAACAATGGCACAAATAGTTCATTTGAAATGAAGCAAATTTAACTTGAGATTACCTTGGATTTAATTCCTTTCATGAATTTTCTAAGAAAAGCCAACATGCTTTAAAAATTTTACGTGTTTCACCCACTCACTTCATCAACACTGAAGATAAAGACTGCTGACAATGATTCGACAGAGAACATATTCTGTTTCTCCATTAGAAGAGTCAATGCTCTTCAGAGGTAGAAAAATGTATATATATACATATACGAGTTGGGGAGTCAACACAACTTGATGGTTTGAAGCAAAGGTACTGTCAGGCTGATTTTGCTGCCATTGGCTCATAGTTTTGGCACATTACTTAATCTAAGTTTGCTTTGTCCTCTAAAAAGTGAGGATGATTTTAGCCCTTACTTCAAAAGGGTATTGTGAAGGGACCAGCAGTTAGTGTAATGGCTATGTTGCTGGACTCCCATGTAGTCGACCGCGGTTCGCGTCCCAGACCTGGTGGCTTAAACACATGCCGGGCATGGGTGTGTGCATACCCAAGTTCCTGAGAGGGGAATGGAGAAGAAGGGATTGCAGTGTGGCCATCCTACCAGGGGGGTGATTTCTCGCTTTCTATCTCTCTGTCTCTCTCTGGCGAACGCATGCACCCTATAGCAAAAAACTCAAAAAAAGGGGCGTGGGGTATTGTGAGTGTTAAATATATAAAGTATTCAGTATAGAGCTCAACAAAAAGTAAATAAGTGTTAGCTGGTATTGGGACCAGCAGATGGCGGAATGGTTACATTGCTGGGCTCCATGTTTGAGTCCCAGACCCGGAGGCTTAATCTCACACCAGTCACATGTGTGTGCGCATGCCCAAGATCCCGAGAGGAGAATGGAGGAGATGACATTGTGGTGTGGCCATTCCTCCAGGGCGTGATTTCTTCCTTTCTGTCTTTTTTGTCTCTTTCTCTGTCTCTCCAGAGAGCACATATGCCCTAAAGCAAAAATCTAAAAAAACCTTTTTTTTTAATTATTGTTTTGCCATTATCAAGTTGAACCATAAAAACAGCCCATATCTGAACATTCTTTACTGACAAAATGTTAAGTTAGTATGTCTCAACTTAGAATGTCAGCCCTGACACCTGCCTATGTAGTACCTATTCCTACATTTCTCTTTTTAGTTATTAACTCAAATTACGGCCTCCTCAAGAGAATGAATTCAACTGATATTTGATAATTCAACTGATATTTAATACTTAGAAAAAGCTGGTTTATGAGATGTACAATTCTAGTCCTTCTCACATTTTAATGTGCATAAGAATCACCGGGGGATCTTGTTAACAGGCAAATACTGATTCAGGGATGAGGAATGAGATTCTGCATTTCTAAGAGCTTCCACCCCCCACGTGATGCTGAGGTCACTGGTCCACAGCATGGACCACACTTGTACAATGATACTTGACAAAGAATTATAAAATGACCCTTCCTTCTCGGGTTCCTTTATTTATCATGGCCTCTAGCACTGCACATTTCCTTGGTACTTAGCCCTGCCTCCAGTCCTGAAATGAACTAGAGAACTAATTCGGCTAATCAAATGATGCTGCCAAGTCAGTGTGAGAATCTCTTTCTGAATTTGTGCTTCAGCTCTGGCACTGTGCCTCTGCACTGTTCGTAGTCCCAGGACTCTTGAGAGTGACTTACACTAGCACTACATCATGCAGAGATAATCACTGAAGTTTGTAAACATGTCACACCAGAGCATTCATGATTTGATATCAGTAGCTGATAAAATATTGAAGAGATCATAATATGTCTACCATTTACTGTATTCTGCTGATTCAGGGATGAGGAGTGAGATTCTGCATTTCTAAGAGTTTTCACCCCCCACGTGATGCTGAGGCCACTGGTCCACAGCATGGACCACACTTGTACAATGATACTTGACAAAGAATTATAAAATGACCCTTCCTTCTCGGGTTCCTTTATTTATCATGGCCTCTAGCACTGCACATTTCCTTGGTACTTAGCCCTGCCTCCAGTCCTGAAATGAACTAGAGAACTAATTCGGCTAATCAAATGATGCTGCCAAGTCAGTGTGAGAATCTCTTTCTGAATTTGTGCTTCAGCTCTGGCACTGTGCCTCTGCACTGTTCGTAGTCCCAGGACTCTTGAGAGTGACTTACACTAGCACTACATCATGCAGAGATAATCACTGAAGTTTGACAACATGTCACTCCCGAGCATTCATGATTTGATATCAGTAGCAGATAAAATATTGAAGAGCCACTTATGAATAACTTACAAGCACTTCAAATATAAGGAGTCTTGACTTTTTTTCCACTGAAAATGATCATAATATGTCTACCATTTACTGTATTCTATGTGCCGGTATGCATTAATCACTAACCAATTTCACAATCCTAAAAGGTACGTATTGTTCCACATTCCTATGTAACTATAAACTGCTATGCCCAAGTCTATGCAGATTGGTAAAATAGAGAAAGCATTTGGAAAGTTGTTTGTTTATCTGTTTGTTTTTTGTTTTATGTTCATTGCAATGCTACAAGGGAAAATAAAGTGTTGTAAATACCTTAGGGTGAGCTAGTAGCAAGTTGGCAGCTTCCTCGAAATATTCTAAGTCCACCTCCAGCAGTTCCTCTGGCAGGTCTTCATAAGCAAAGTATGCTAATGCCAGCACTGCAAAGCCATGGGCAGCCAAAAGACTGGCTCAAAATTCAACTAGGCCCCCAATGTTCCCAAACAAATCAATGATTCCTGAGAAGGGACCTTCCCCTGAGAACAAAAAAGGGAAAATTATAGGATCAGAAAGAGTGAAAAGAGAGTCAGATAGATAGCAGTGAAAGTAAAGGCCAAGCAAAATTAATTCCATCTTTACACACACACACGCACACACACACAAATACACCAGTCCATTAGTTTTAAAAACATTGTGGGAAATACAGATTCTTGAATAATTTTATGTCATTTATATTTGTTTTTATTTCCATCAACAATGTTTTCTATATTACCAAAGATTAGTATTACCTGGAGGGAGAAAAAGGGCTCCTCGCACTCGACCTTCTCGAATCTGCTTCCGCTGTACCCCTGGGGCTGAAAACCAGCGCTGCACAACCTGGCTAGCCTTGGGCTGAACCTTGGCTGAATTTTGGAAGCGAATGGAATCATATAGGTCCAGAGTGACCCAAAAAGGGCTGTTCATCACATCCTGCTTGAGCAGTCTCCTGAAAGCCTTCTCGGGCTTCAGCGACCAGAAGAGACCCATCGGATGGATCCCTACATAGTCACCTCCTAATGCAGGAGTCTGCTTCAGGTCCACCTCACCAGCCTCATTAGCTCTATAGAGGGCTTTGGACCAGAACATATTCCCCTTTTCATCCTTCAGCGAGGCCTTAATGGTCACTACCTGGGATGGGAGCAGTCCTGTTGCTCGGATGTGCACTGGCTCGTCTGCCAGGGCACTTGCTGGGGTGGCCACCAGCTGAATCATTGGTGACTGGCAAAGAGACCAAGTGGTGTTTCGTTCCCTGGAGTCGGGAAAGAGACTGAACTGGAGACTGAAATTCTAAGGCAAGGCTTACGTTAAGTCTGACCAAAATACATTCCAGGGACTTAGTGCAAAATACACAGAACTTTTAGAGGAGGGAGATGGAGACAAGCAGAGAATAGTCACTGTTCTCATTTTACAGAGGAGGAAGTGGAGTAAGTCACCCGTGTCAAGTCTCATAATATTTCACAGAACTGGGTTATCCATTAAAACACTAATAAAGCTTAGTCTTGTAGTTTGATTCTTCAGTTGAAATAATACCTGTGTGACCTATTTCACAGGGTGTGTCAGGATCCCAGGGGGGTAAGCAGGGTAAAGGGCTCTGAAATAGTGGTGCTTTCCAGCCCTGTACTTTCTGGGGTAGAGTTACCATAAACAAGAATCCATTAGAGTGGTGGTGACTTTTTGTTTTCTTTTCTTTTTAATCGCTAATCCTTACCTGGGATTGTAAGACTCCCAGCTCTTTGCAGAGTTTTTATTATTTGTCCTTTTTAATGCAAAATAAAACTTCATGGTCTTGTCTGTTTTTATGACTTTCCAATGGCGTGACAAATGTCAGTGGTGTTTGTAGTAAATACACTGTTACTTGATCAGCTATTTCTTACTCTGTTTTATCAAGAGGGAAATTTTGGATCTTCCTTCCTCCTTCCCTCCTTTTCTCTTTCCACTTTCCCTCCAACTCTCCCTTCCACCTTCCCTCTGTCTCTCCTTTCCTTCCCAGATAGCTGGTCCCTTTGTGAACTCTTACCCACCAACATGAGAAAAACACCCATAGCAAGAGACTGAATTGGAGACTGAACTTAAGACTCCATCTTAGAAGTGCCGGAAGCTTACTTGTTCCTTGCTAATTTATATCTTTCAAAATACTGCAGCGTATGGTTGAAAGTCAAAATTGTCTCCACAGAAGCCATCAGCTGCTCCTCTTTTTAAGTCCCTAATGAAAGGGCTACCAGGAGATGCTACCTTGGGATTTGGGTGGAGCCTTGGTCTCTCCAATCTGCCTTTCAGTTTAAGTGTTTCATAACAAAGTATAATATTTCATCACATAGCTCAAGTTTCTAAGCCTTTTCCCTTGGCTCTTTCTCTCAATTCCTAAATTTAATCTCTTTTGTTTTAGTTTTTTCTCTAGCTTCTCCTCTACTTAGGCAACTCCCATTGTGATGACTTCTAACGTGAGTCTCAAATATTCACCTTTAAAGCATTGTGGGCTGATGGCATAAGATTTATCTGAGGAATCTCCTAAATAAAGATTTCTGTGGCCTTTACCTAGACTCTGACTTGGTATGTCTAAGATAAGGTTCTAGAATCTGTTTGTTTACATTATTATTATTGCCAGAATACGCTTAACATTTGCCAGAGAGAGAGAGGAGTGGAGAGAAAGCACCCCCACTGAAGAATAGTCACACAGCAATCTCTCCTCCTCCACTGCTCCCTCCCTTCAGGATTTTGGGCACCCCTTCATAGGTGCCTGGTGTGTCTTTCAAACCACCAGGGCTGAGGCTTGAATCTCGCTCTGCTGTGTGGTATCCAGCTCCCTTAACCACTGAGCTCTAGGGCCAGCCTTTAGTAACTGTATTTTTTTAAAGGAGGTTTTAACACCTTTTTCAGTTTAGGGACCACTTTCCAAAGGACAGCAAAAACTCCCCCAGAACAAATATAATCCCCAGTACCAGAACCTCTGATTAACCATATGATTAACCAAAGATTAACCATATGATAGGGCACAAATCAAGCCTTTACAGATTCAAAGACATAGAAGCTATATCCAGTATCTTCTCTGAACAAAATGGAATTAAGCCTGATATTTCAAGAAAAATTCCTGAAAATACAAAAGCACATGGTAACTTAGCAACCTACTCCTGAATGACTTCTCAACTATCGACCATATTAAGTCTGAAATCAAAAGACTTATGGAACCAATGGTAATGAGTACATGAGTTACCATAATCTATAGAACACTGCAAAAGCTGTCCTAAAGGGGAAATTCATAGCAATTAGTGTACAGAAGAAGAAGATGGAAAGGTGGCAAATACACAACCTAACATCATGTCTCAGGGAACTGGAAAAGCAACAGCAATAACAAAAAAATAAATTTAAAAATGCCAGGAGAAAAGAAAGAATAACAATTCAAGCAGAAATAAATGAAATAGAAAATAAACAAACTATACAGAAAATAAATGAAAGCAAGAGCTGGTTCTTTGAAAAGATGAACAAGATCGACACACCATTAGCTAGACTGATTAAGAAGAGAGAAAGAAACCAGATAAATTAAATACATACTGAATCAGGCAATGTTACAACAGATACAATAGAAATACAAAACATCGTTGGAGGATACTCTGAGTGACTATATGCCAACAAACAAGAGAATATGGATAAGATGGACACATTTCTGGATGAATATAATCTACCAAGATTGAATAAGGAGGACATAGAAAGCCTGAATGGACCCATAACAAGCCATGAGATTAAATCAGTAATAAATAACCTCCCAAAAAAGAAAAGTGCAGGTCCTGATGGCTTCACTTCTGAATTCTACAAAACTTTTAAAAAAAGAGTTAACCCCCATTCTACTCAAATTATTTCTAAGGACCCAAAAGGAAGGAATCCTCCCAAGTTCATTTTATGAAGCCTCCATCATCTTCATTCCCAAAACAGGTAAAGACATGACAAAAAAGGAAAACTACAGACCTATCAATCTGACGAATATAGATGCAAAAACTCTCAATGAGATATTTCCATACTGTATCCAACAACATATAGAAAAGATTATTCAACATGACCAGGTAGGTTTTATTCCAGGGATGCAAGGGTGGTTCAACATATGCAAAACCATAAACATAATATCCCATATTAGCAGGAAGAAAGATAAAACCCATATGATCATTTCAATTGACACGGGAAAAGCATTTGACAAAATAAAACATTCCTTTGTGATTAAGACTCTCAGCAAAATTGGTATATAAAGGTCATTTCTCAACACAATAAAAGCCGTATATAAAAAACCTATACCTAACATTATACCAAATAGAGAAAAGCTGAAAGCTTTTCCAATCAAATTACCAGAGGCATTCTTCACAGATCTAGAAAAGACAATCATAAAATTTGTCTGGAGTCATTAAAGACCTCATATTGCCAAAGCAATCCTGTGCAAGAAGAGTGGAGTGGGTGGCATCCCAATCCCTGACCCCAAAATATAGTACAAAGCTGTGATAATCAAAACAGCATGGTACTGGCACAAAAACAGGTGTTTGTCAAGTACAGTGAAACATTATAAAGATCGTTTGTAAAGCACAATGAAACATTATAAAGATCCCAGAAATAAACCTCAAAACCTACAGCCAGGGGCCAGCAGGCGGCATGGTAGTTAAGGGTGCTGGACTCCCATATGGCCGACTGTTCCCTCTGAGTCTCTCTCTCTCTTTCACTCTCACTCTGACCCTCTCTGGTCAAATTAAAATAAATGAATAAAGTTGAATAAAATAACTCTTTAAAAAAACAAACAAGGGACCCTGCGCAGCGTGGCGGCGGCACCTGCGCGGCCCCCCCGGGCCCTGCGAGGCCCCCCAGGCCTGCACAGCCAGGGCTCTGCTCTGCATTCCACGGCCTCTCTGGGGCTGCCGTGTGATCTCCGGGCCTGCGCGTGACTGCCGGGCCTGC